TTACTACATTGTTAGGTTTGCTCTCTGCCTGAATGCCATTGCGCTGCCTGTCTTTCTCTCTCTATTGTGACTTTGATTTCCCACAGTATTTCATCTGCTTTAGCTTAACTTAAGCTTTTTGTGGTTTAGATTGCTGTGGCATCGAGGCAGGCTTTTACTTGTGCTCATGCACACAAGTGCCATATATCTGTCGACTGTTGGAACGCTCGCTAGACTCTAACTTAAATAACTATCAAATAATCTTGCTACATTACTTCACTACAGTTTGAGACATACTTTTGGTTGTGACAGTGAATTTCTGCATTAAAGTATGCTCTTTCTGCTGCTTCGTCTTCTTCTTCTCTCAACTTTATTAAGAAATTGCATAATAAATTCCTGTCGAAAAGCGTAAAGTTATAAATAACAGTCACCACATTGCCACAAAGCGAAGATTTATTGAGATTTTAGAGCTACTGACATGCCTCTCGGCTAACTCAACTGAGTCGGCGGCAACATTATACCCATATGCCCGCTGGGATTGTTACACGAGTAGCGGAAAAATATGTGCACGTTCTGGAATTTTTCACAATACCCAAGGCGCTGGCGTAATTAATGCTATTTTATTTGTAGTGGTGTGAAAATATTTTGAGAATTGCATTTGTTAGAGTTTAAGTGAGACATTGTATTAATATAAGATCATTACATTTGATACAACGGGTGATTATGGAAAATATGTATATATTTGCATAAAATAAACATAGCAAAAGAATATAGCATGATAGAGATTATAAAGAAACGTATTCCAAATTATAAAAATCAAGCTCAATATAAACATAAGATTTTGCTTAGATATGTACTGCGAATCAGAAAAAAACTTGTACAGGGGGATGGGTAACTCTGAAGTGACTTATCTCCTAAGATATTAAAACTTTTGAGTTGCATTTAAATGTGAAAAAATGCTGTTCATTAATTTTAAAAGACATAAAAACAACTCCTATAGTTTGCATAAATTAACAGTTACACACTCTTTAGGAAAAATGAATACCTTGCATGTGCACTTTTGCCCTATATCATGGCTAGCAGTTTTTTATGCATAGAATGCCAAATTTTGTGTAAGTACAAGTGGTAATTTTTGCCATATTTCTTGAAGAACAACCATAACCTTATTTTGCTATTAACTTTGAGCTCTCGTAACATCGTCTCCACATAAGCCCACAGGTGTTGTACAACAACCATTCCTTAACCACTAAAGCAGAATGTTTCGGGTCGTTATCCTGAATAAAGCAGTAGCCTCTATTTAAATTGAGTTTAGATGCTGACGGAGCCAAATTATTTTTCAATATTGTTCAATGTTGACGTTACACTTTCATCAATTCATCCAGATCCGCCAGTCTTTTTGAATTTAGCAATAATGTACGAAACAATTGTATTTGTTTTTTCAAATATTTCCTTTTTCAGTACTTTGGTTCTCTTGTTAATTTTTGACTGCCAGAGCCTGCAAATCTTAAAATGTTCGTATATTCATCTTTTTTTTCAAAAAGTAAAACCGCAGAAAATAAATTTTCCTACCAAATAGTAGGTTTTGACCATATACAAAAAATTCCACCCAAAAATAATGGTTTCGACATGATAACTTCATTTAAAGAGTTGCTCATGTAGTAGTATACGCTTTTTGTTTGGCTGTTCAAAAATGAGATATTTTAATTTTTTTCATTCGGTAACATCAAACTTTATTTATTGTTAATTTTTTTTTAAAATAAGAAAATTCAAAAGATTCTCATATTGTGCTGAAATAGTTTAGGTGAAAAGTTTCTTTAAAGTTAAACCAGAGAGAGTACAAGTTTATTTTGATTCACTGTAATGAAATTAATAAAGTTTGGTTATAAAATTTTGACACTATGCTGCAATAACAATCCAATGTTCCACAGTATGAGGAATACAGCATTTTTATTTTATTTTGACCGAAAAATTTATGTAGTTTGAGTACTCAGATTTATAATATGTTGCGACACAGTATAATAGTTTTAGATGTAGGGTTTTGTATGTGTATATAAATTATAAGAATGACTAGACAAGTTGAACTTAGGGTGTCTGTTTGCCTGTATGTCTGTTCATCCGTCCGTCTGTGTATGCAACAACTTGAGTAAAAATTAAGAAATCTTAATGAAACTTGGTATACGTATTACCTGGTAGAAAAGTAAAGATAAGTTCGTAAAAGGGTGTAATCAGACCACTGCCACGCACAGAAAAAATTAACGCCATTAATGAAAAACTCTAAAATGCCATAACTAAGCAATAAATTAAGATATAAAACTGTGTTTGGTAATTGTTAACTAAAAACTTTGAAACAATGGTGGCCCCGCACTCTGAAGATACAATAACCATATTCGCTAACGCCAAATCCTATAAGAACCCTTACCGACAGTGTAAAAATGGATGAAACCGGATTTATAACTTCATTCTCTCTCCATATGACGGTTTAATTAAAAACTACTAACGAAATCGGTTTACAACCACGCCTACTTTTTATATAGCACAATTTTAAATTCCGTATGATTCCTTTCCTTTCCAGTATACAAATTAAGAATATATTTGTATAAAATTTTGCACAAATAGTGCCTTTAAGGTATCCTTATACGTTGCAAGAGTATAAAATGTTCAGATACACCCGAACTTAGCCTTACCTTACCTGTTTTTTATATTAAAATAATATCACACGTTAACATACTTATAAAAAGGATGAAATCTACTGGTTCTAAATTTCCATTGGTTATTTCTGGTAAATTTCCTCTCTTACCCTTTAGTGCTAACATTAATTTTAAAATTTTTGTTAAATAACTGAATGAAATAGTTTATTCTGAGGCTAATATGACGTGGGGAATATTTGAAGTTTTGGAAGCCGAAAAATTTAATTCTCTCAAGTGAATGTAATGTTTCCTAAAAGGCTATTAAGTAAAACAATCATATGACTTCCTCACTACATGAGATGGAAAAAAATTAAAAGACTATTGTGTATGCTGTATTATATCTATGAGAAGGGTGAAAATGTCCCCCCCATGCATGATATAAATGCAATTGTAAATCAGAACATTTAAACAGAAAATATATTAAAAGCAATTTAGTTATTTTGTTAAGAAGAAGCTACTTCAAATATAATAAAATATTCCAGAGGTTTCTATATATACACATTCAAATTCATTTATCAATATTTTTGAAACCTTACTTATACATCTACATATATGCAATCGTCAATCTATTCGGATTATTCAATATTACTCATGCGCCCTGTTATACTTTACATATTTATGTTTATTTATGTTTATTTATTGAATACATAGTTGAGTCGTTTCAGTTGAATATATTACATAATTTGAATCTTTACTAGCTAATTAGACACATATATACATATATTGTATTTTAACACTTTTATTCCCAGTATCATTCCATACTCCATTCCATTCATATGTGAAGGGGGAATATTTTACTCATAAAATCTATAAACATTTTAGGAATAAAAACTAATACTTCAGATATATATGCCGCCACAATGTCTAATAAATTTTTATTATGTGCGTAAATTTAGTACCGATGTATTTTTTAGCCAAAAAGTTGAAAGTTAATAATAAAATTTATGAAACTAAAAACATATGCTTTTTCGTAATGTTTTTGTTTTGTGTTGAACTTTTTAAGAAAATCTATCCTTATCATTTACTTAAGTATTTCAGAAATTAATTGGGTCTAGTCTAGTTAACTCTACTTAAAACTTAACTAGAAGCTGATGGTCAGCCTTTGATGATTTAAAAAAAAAATTTCGCATACCACAAGGTGCGTTCCAAAGTAAACAGTAAAAAAGTAATAAATTAAACTATAGTGGCGCCATCTATATGTCGACTAGTGCGTTAGAATCTGCTATCTTTTGTAGACTTGCAATAAAAATTTCATAACATTTCATCTATTGGAAGTGAAGTTATTGCGTTTTAAGTGTCAGTATGTTTTTGTAATCGGTGCGAAAATGAGCTTCGAACAAAGAGCCAACATTAAATTTTGTTTTAAAATTGGTAAAACTTTTACCGAAACGTTTCAATTGATGAAACAAGCTTATGGCGATGATTGCCTATCCCGTAGCAGAGTGAACGAGTGGTTTCAACGTTTTCAAAGTGGTCGTGAAGACATAAATGAGAAATGAATCGGAACCCAAAAAATCGCGCCTGGAGAAGTCAAAACTGAAGATAATGCTGATCTGTTTTTATGATTCCAAGGATATTGTCCACAAGGAATTTGTTCCACCCGGCGTGTTCGGCCCGAATATCGCGAAGATGGAAGTTGGCGTTTGTTGCACGATAATGCGCCGTCTCATCGATCGACGCTTGTTGCCGATTATTTGAACAAAAATCACATTTTAACAATTAACCACTCCCCGTATTCACCTGGTAGTGCACCGTGTGACTTCTACCTTTTCGGAAAAATGCATTTGCCGATGAAAGGAAGGCGTTATGCAGACGTGGAGGCATTTCAAAAGGCTTGCACCGACATACTGGCGGCCATACCGAGCAATGAGCTAAAACACTCGTTCGACATGCTTTTGGACCGTTCAAAAAGCTGTATTAAAGCAGAAGGAGACTATTTTGAATAAAATTAATTGATTTTGCCGATAAAACCATTTGTCTTTTTTTTTTAAAGTCCTGTTTACTTTGGAACGCACCTTGTAAAACTGATCAAAAAATAAGTAGTCTGTCTGATTCATTCTAAATAAAGGTGATCGTAAAAAAGTAGTACCTATAGCTTTTATTTCATAATCATTATGATGAAGAGCGGACAAGATTATATTGAAACAATGATTAATAGACTAAATTTCATAACAAAAATATCGCGAAATTGTGAAATATTTATTTTACAGAAAGATATCTAGAATGTTTTTTTCAAATAAGTTAGTAGCTCGATCATCACCCAAATGTACCTGAGTTCCCAACATACAACTTGTATGTTCCGTTAACTACATTGAAATATTTTCTTCCACTTACCTTGGAAAATATAACCGCACAATTTCGCCTATTCTCCCTTTAATGTGATAACTGCATGACGTATTCGGCGGATACCAATGAGCGATACTCAAAAATATACCCTCACTGGCGCTACTATCCTTCAGCGAGTCGGAGCTGAGTAGCCAATCGCAAATTCCATGCTTGATGCCTGCTGTCTCGACGTGACCAGGCCAATTGCCGACGTTGAAATGGAAACCAGTGTTGAGCAGCGGGCCCGCTGGTGAGGTAACGAACTCCACGTACATGTATTGGGAAGTGCCTGTGAAACAGAGGGAGAGATAAAAATCCATGATGAACAAAAAGAGAAAAAGTAAGTGTGGAAAATTGCATAAACATGAAGATAAATTGAGACCCTCACGTCCCCCCCACCGCAAAGCATACATTTAGAATTTTGCAATTTTTCCGCAACGGCTTGTAAGTGTGTGTGTGACTGCTGCGTGAAAAAAGCAGCGAATGCGTGAATTTATAAATATTAATTGCATTAGTCACACAATATCCAAGTCCAGTGATGGACTCTGGCAAGCCGAGCAACGGTGCAAGGTTAACCTCAGCATTTACGGCTGTGCACGAAAATTGGCCGCAGCTAGTTGCAATTCCGCGCAGTTGTCGTTGTCATTTCTCTTCGTAACACTATTTGTGGCGTGCACACTATGAGCCGTCTTTTAAATTGCCATAACAGGCTATGTTGTGTAAGCCTAAAACAACCACAACACAACAGTGAGTAGGAATACCCTTACAACAAACTGCAAGAAATTGCAATTCATGGTACGGATGGAGTTAAGGTATGATATTAAGTTAATGAAAGACCAAAAGGTAGCAAAAAATGTACTAATTTCCATTCGTTTCAACAAGCAGCTATTCTCTTAAAGTCTGAGAGCAGACAAAGGCTACTGTGATCAGAACTGGGGAATACAGTGGATGCGCAGGTAATCCAAAGCGCAATTTCTACAATTTCATGATCAATAAGTCCAACTTTTCGTTGATATCTTTTAAGTGTCAGCTGATCCTGAAGAACCTTAGTTTACGGTCATCTACGATTATTTTGTGCATATAGTTCAAACGGAATTTATGAGACTACTTACCAACAGTTACTTCGCTAAAGAAACTACTTTTTTACAGCTTTTATACTCTGAACAGGGTATATTAACATTTTCACGAAGTTTGTAATACCCAGAAGGAAACGTCGGTAACAGTATACAAATATATATAGATCGAGCTCAAATTTTGCTACACGTCTCACGTTTGCTTTTCTGCCCAAGAAGCTGCTCATTTGTTATAACCGCCGATATCGGACCACTATAATATATAGCTTCCATACAAACTGAACGACCAGAATCAAGTTCTTGTATCCTCTTCACGAATATGCATAAATTAATAAGATATGAGGTCTCAATGTGGTTATATTATAATCCCCATCAACAAAATAATAACTATAATTTTGGGAAATATGTCGAGAAAATTTCGCACAAAGAGCGAAGCAAAGAAGCAGTGAAGCGCTTTAGGCTCTAAAAACAATATTAACCTCATTTTTTACATTGTGTCAAAGGCCAGATATTTTCGACCAAATCGCTAAGACATTACTATACACTGATGTTCCACACAATTTTACATGGAATAAATCATATAAAAAATGAGGACCAAGGAAATAAGGAAAATCACATCCTTCAAATGCACTCAAATTTAAAGCTAAGATATTTGGTCGACTTTGCACATCCAAATGCTTCATTTTACGGTTGTTATTGGTACGTATTCCTAGACCAACGTCTTTTGAAATTTTGGTAACATCATCCTTAATATATACATCATTCAACCAGCTGCGTATCATTTCCCCATAGTATATTAAACAAGCATGCAAAAAAAACGAAACGAAGAGGAATAAGACCCAACCAACAACACTAGCACTATTTAGACAATATTGCCATTGTAGTTAGATCTAACACTTGCCAAAGTCAGCACAAACAATAATAAGCGAAATGGCAGTTATAAAAACAACAACAATGACAATATGTGTAGCACAAGAGTAATTTATTATGCAATTTGTACATACACATGATCAACGGTTGCAGCTGTCGCAGCGAATGTGTACGCCATATTCATTCTCCTCAACGCTCACGAATTGTGAAAATTCCACGGCGTATACGTAACATTTTGTCGGACATTCGAATGTTAGATGACTTTATGTGGCAATGGCGTTGTTATATCAATTATTGTTGGTAATCTGTGGATATGCACAACTGTAGGGCTACAAACCAAAACATATAAGCAACTACTTATACATATACATACATAAATATGTACATCCAAATTGTATTTATAAGCAATATGCACGTCGAAGGTGTGATTTTTGTTTAGATTTCTTTAGATATATTTGATTGCTTAATGTATTGAGAGGGTTTGAGACTTCACTTTGAGATTACTTTTAACAGTTAATATTGAGTTCCCCAACCTTTTTGGGGCGTACCTATGCTTTTGGCTCAAACAAAAGATCCATTCTATCCTACACTCACTTACGCATTCAACGACTAAATCATTCAATCATTTCTATGCGGCAATGACTTTTACCCGCATCCAGTTAAAACCATTGCATTTTAAATTTTGTTATTGTTCGCATCCACATTGTTCTTTTGCCATTGCAGGCATTCATGTGCCGCTGCTGATTGTCTCATCTACTACTGTTAACTGTCGGTCCATTTGTCTCTCACTTGGTTGTGCTTTATTGTTGTTTTTGTGCTGAATATGCTGATATTTGCTATTTCCTATTTACCAGCTGCCAAATGCCATTTACCATATTTTGAAATTTAGTTTGACGCACAGACCTCGCTTGACGTATGCTATGCTTAGATGTGTATATATGAATATATTTATATATATGTGTGCTTTGGTAGAAGTTCATAATTGCACAATTTAGCTGTATTGTGTGTCTGAAGAACTGTGGTGTTTTATACTCGACGGTACATATAAATGTACATACATACTTAAGTATGTATATGTGTGTGCAAAGAGGTTGGAAATTATTTGCATATACATATATCAATATGATACGATGAAATAATAAATGAAATATTCTAATTTTTCTTAAATAAATACGTGTATAAGGTGCGCCATATTTTATGTCAGTATGTAAATATTGAAATGCTTTGTTTAAAAATGATTTATTAATTAACTAAACACTTTTCAATTAATATGGAATAGTTTTGAATACAAGAACGCCCAGTCTTATTAACTGCAGCAGAATAAGCTTTTTTTACTGCATTTTACATCGTCTTCTAGAATCGGCACGAATTTTTTCTTTTAAATACGTCAATGGTTTGAGCTCTGTTGGCATACGTTTTGCTGTTCAAATAGTTTAAAAAAATATGTCGGAAGGAGTTAGATTCATTTAATCTAATTTCATTTATCCATAGCTTTTAGCCTAGAAATATTTATTCCAAATTAGATCCTAAGTCGTATCCAATTTTTTCCATTCCCTTTTCAGCGTAGGCCACATTACGTGCCTAGGAAAACTTTAGTATTCTAACAGAACTAAAACAAACCAATGCTAAAAGCTAAGAGACTTCTAATGTTATCTCAAATACCAAATTTGTCACTACGAGCTCTTTCCACGGCAGTCCGTTCTATGTAACCGAAGCGGATAATCGTTTTGATCCGCACAAGGTATGTTAATTTGATATTATGCCCTCAAACTATTTGAAGTATATTTTATGGTATGTTTCATGGAAGCGACTTTTAGGATAAGTTTCTTTCGTCATATGTTTATGATTGGAAGTGTAATTTTTTTGTTGTGAGCTCTTTTGTCTACTAACATACTTGAACATAAACTATTCTATATTTTAAGTAGGAGGGGACTATATACAGTGTGCTAAATTTTACTAAAATCCGTTCAGTAGCTTAAGAGTTTACCCCAGATAAACAGAACGAAATAAAATATATCATATGATTTTATTTCGTTCTGTTTATCTGAAATCCGAAATGAAATATATCATATGAATATCATATGATTTTTTTTCGTTCTGTCTCCTGGTACTAAGCTACCTACCCACCGGTTTTGCTGTTCTTGAGTTATAAATTGTGTAACGAATTGGGCAATAACGAAAGTAATTATATATTGCTAAAATTAATCAGATTTCACAAAAACTCGTATCGCTGTTATTGATGATAGAAGGCTTAAGACCTCAAGATTCAAAAAACGTAGGCAGGGAATTCATTTATCCATTATATTATAATACCTAAAGGAAAGAACAAAAAATCAAGTGTCGTTTATAAGTCTTTCAAATGTGTGACCATAACACCGCTCTTCTGACGTGGGTATAAGGAAACTGTCATATCATAAGATTACAAATACCACTTCTGATGGTAGAAAATCAATAAAATCCTTTCTAACATTTTTAACTTTTTGAAATTATTTTCAGTTCATCACAGTTAACCCTATATTTTAGTTATTTAAAATTTTTCGATATACAAAACGCACATGTAGTCTTGTTCCAAAAAAAAAAAATTAAAACTTACCAATAATGCTAAACGGAAATTTGCCCAGCCCACAAAATTTGCCAATAAGTGGCGAATGCTCATCGCGACCATCATAGACGGCAAGCCAATCGTAGGGGCAGTGCTCCTTGCCAGAACCAATTGGTCGTATGGGACAAGTCATGACGTTTTCACACCTGCAATGGAAATGAAAAAGAAAAAAAAAGAAGAGAGAAGAAGAGGAGTAAACGTAAGATTAGAAGTGAAGTTGCCAAAAAGTTTGGATTAACAACTATATATATAAATTTGTATATAGTATTTGTATACAGTTTGCTGGCACATAAAATATGTATCTAATATTGGCGAAGAGAGTGCGACAGTTATGCTTTCAACAGTTTGGGCAATCGTCGTAAAATAGTTGTTGTGGGTACAATATGGGTAAAGTGTGCTTAAGGGCTCATATATTTATAAATATTGAATTCTGATAATGGAGTTAAGGCGTTGTAACTGACCTCTGAGCAACATAACGCTGAGAAGTTTGTCACATTTTTTAGGATTCTATGTCAAAATAAAGAATATGATAACATTGAAAATGTTAATACCTGTTCAGCAAGTTTTAAATCATGTAAATTAATTATATAAATGAATGATTACGTACAATCTTAGGCTAGGGCAGATAACTCATAACAGGATGAACCCCATTGGAAACGAAAGATAAAATAGCAAAAATTAAAGTAAAATAATTAACGGGCGATCTGTGGTCGAGAATAAGAAGGGGAGGGGCGTAGTTTAATTTCGTAAATCAATTACATATATCGATTTCAAAAATACGTCCTAAAAAAAAGGTTATATGGAAAGGTTGTTGGTAATGAAAAGACCTTTTGTATTTACACTTTTTCACATAACCTCAAAATGTATGTGAAAAATTAAAATATCCAAGTTTTTGGGTTTTTTATTTTTATCTTGTTCAAAAGAAATTTTCTTTCTTGAAATTTGATGTAAACATACGTTCTTATTCCCCAAACATGTTGTATTTTTTATTTAAAATCTTTATTTGTTCTCCTTATTTTGACTTAAAATTTAAAGAGACCCTAATTTTCGATTATAAATTCTCACCTCGAAATATCAGAATTTAAAAAAAACAAGTAAGGAAAGGCTAAGTTCGGATGTAACCGAACATTTTATACTCTCGCAAAGTCAAATAGTATACTCGTTTGAGATTTCTTTGTGGATTGACTGATATTTTCGGTAGAAGGTCAACTATAGGCACTGGGGTCCACATATTTAGTACTTATGGTCTTGAACAGTGTTGGTTCGATTTAGACAATTTTTGGCCACAAGATGGCATACATTAATCGCATTATTTACGCAAAGTTTAATCTCGATACAGTCATTGTTGCCTGATTTGCATAGTGGAAAGTGAAAGAATCAGATGGAATTTAAAATGGTGTTATATGGGAAGTAGGCGTGGTTGTTGTCCGATTTCGCCCATATTCGCACTATGACATACAAATATGAAAGGAACGTTTTGTACCGAATTTGGTTGAAATCGGTTAAGCAGATCTCAAGATATGGGTTTTCACCTAAAAGTGGGCTGTGCCACGCCCACTGTCTAATTTTGAACGCGGTTCCCATAAAGTCATCTCATACCATCCTAGAGATAAGATTTGATGTCTCTGGCGTGTTTAGTGCTTGATTTATCGCGCTTTTAGTAGTTTTTAACAGTACCGTTATATGGGGAGTGGGCGGAGTTTCCTCCCGATTTCAACTATTTTTACACTGTAGGTAGAGGTTCTAATTTCAGTGAATTTTGTTATTTTTGAATTAGCGGTTTAGGAGATATGCACATTAAACCTATTAGGGGCGGGACCACGCCCACTTAAAAAAAATTTAACTGCAGATGCCCCTCCATATTGTGACCCTGAATACCAAATAAGAGTCTTGTATCTTGTTGTGGAGCTTAGTTATGGCAATTTATTTGTTTTTGAATAAAGGCGTTTTGTGGGCGTGGCAGTGGTCCGATTACGCCCATCTCACCAACCGTCTCACGGTATCAAGAAACATGTCTACCATGTTTCATAAAGATATCTTAATTTTTAATCAAGTTAGAGCTTGCACGGACGGACGGACGGACAGACAGTCACCCGGATTTCAACTCGTCTTTTCATCCTGATCATTTATATATACATAACCCTATATCTAACTCGATTAGTTTTAGGTGATACAAACAACCGTTAGGTGAACAAAACTATTATACTCTGTAGCAACAGGTTGCAAGAGTATAAAAATTAGTGAGCCTTATCGTTGATGAAATCTCTAGTTTCTGATGGTATAAAAAATATATACATTACTTTCTCAGAAAATGCAATAAAATACCCCACTAAATAGCTGCTACTACAAAATATTGTAATACGTTCGCCTTTTTACCAAATAGGACAAAAGAAAATGCTCTTTTTATATTCTGTATCACATTTTCTCCTTTCCTTAATGAATTGGTAGTATATATAGGTTATATTTAATCATAATCAGTAGCAGTCACGCTGATTTATACTTTACCCATTACAACATCATTCTCACAAATAAAAGTAAAGTCATTAACGCTTGCAAATCTCAAATATTTAGTGGGTTCAAAGTTAAACAAATTTTGTCAGCGCTGATTAAAATCCTTACAGCACTCTATATGAATAAAATAGTCAAAGTATAGGATACATAATCTACAACAATCTATATACGCGTATAATAAGTACATATATAAGAGTCATTTATGATTTTCCTATTGTTATTCCTCTCATGCCAGTTATTGTCATTTCCTCATCCGTATTAGTTGTCAGAGCAACGGTATTTTATTTGCTATTTTCATTGAACTTCTGTATATATTGTAGGAAACAAATGGCGGCCTTTATGATTAATTAACAACGGGAGAGAGATAATTTTTGCTATTATAAATCATAATGGTAGGGACAGCGGCGGTTAAAGCACCAAATGGGGTGCAAAGTTCTTGTAATAGCGGCGGTTCGCTATATCTGAGGGCGAATCCCAATACGAAAATGAATGAGCTCAAAAATAATATTGAATTTAAAGCGTATGCATGGGCATAACGGAGTATGTTGCGATGAATGATGATAAAGGCAAATTTATCGTTGTTTGTTGTTGGTTGGAAAAAATATTGTTTTTAAATTATAACGATATAATGAGAGCGAAAATTAGCGCAAATACATATACAAGTATTTGTAAGGAAATGGTAAAATGCTCGAGAGTTAAGAGTTAAACGTTTTCAATGAATAACGATGTGATTGCTCAAAAAAAACACAAACATAGCTTAAAGTAAAAATAATTTATTCGTAATTCTCGATATTTTTTTTCTAAAATGTGGAAAAAGTCAGAATATGGTTCAAAAGCCACTATCTTAACGTTGTGCTTAAAATTAAAATCAAACTTTTTCAATAAAATTCAGATATTAAATGTTTTTTCTTAGTTATTTTGGCTCCTTGAGGAGCATAGGACCGCAACAAAATATCCAAATTAATTACGACGAGCGTCTACTGGGGCACAAAGGATTTCGTTTGAATTTTAAGATAAATATTTAGTAAAGAATGTATTTTGAACAATTGCCTTGAATTTTAATGGTTAGGGTTAAACCAAAATTTCATTGCTTAAAAAATTTAGTGAAACATTCTCTTCAGTTGGAAGTCAAATTCAAGCTATTTCTTGGGAATTTTTTTTGTATACTGAATCAGATGTCAACGCCGTAAAGTCACAGTTTTTACAAGTATTTTCTCAAATAGCGCTAATTTCATACCTAGGCTGAGTTTTCGTAATACAACATATGTTTACTAAAAATTTCTGAATGTCGACAAATTTCACAGCTTTGCTTACTTACAAATGTATGTTCGATTTGTTTTAGTAGTTTAGATATTTAAAAAGTGTGGCATTATTACAGAAATATTTTGGAACTGATTTGAATATTTTAAACCAGATGGCAGTGCTAAAAAGTTAAATATTGTACTATTTTTTTTTATAAAAGCACTATCAGCAATCACATCTATATTTGTTTTTGTAATATGTTATTCTTTAGGGGACAAGTTCCTTCCAAACTTATACTTAAACCCAGACTGTCCTACGTTTTCAAAGTTTTGCGTTTTTTTGAAATTCCGCATTCATTTTAAAGTCCATTAAAATGTTTTGAGAACCAATTTTATATATCTTTATTTAAATACAAGTATATATAATACTTTCTCAAATTATCATTATTATTCCTCAAATAATCATTATTATCTACCCTTTTCGAATTTGTAAATTTTTGATTGTTCAGAATTCTTTAAAGGATAGTAACTTTTATACAACTGATACTTACACGTAAAGAATTGTCTAAAAAACCGTAAAAAATATAACTATTTACTCACTATTGAACAAGTTTTATTTAAAGTCAGATATCTCGGTTTATTTTGAATAGTCAGTTGCGAACTCAATTATTGTGCACGTACGTAGGTATATACATAATTATGCCTGCTGTGTGCCAAAGTGCTCTCATCAATTACGCCATCCCAAAAAGTTGGCGAGAACTTTGCCACATCATCGGTGGCATCAATAACTACTATAACAACAACAGAAATAAAGAACATAAGGTGAAATACGCGTAGAAATAGCACATAAAGTAGCATAGTAATAGATGCATGTGGCGGTGTGTATGTGTGCTGCCACACAGTTTTGAAAATGTATAATAATTGCTGCGTGAACTTTTTTGTTATCATAAATTATTGATCGGACAGCTCGAAAACCGTTGGGAAAATAAACAAGCACAAATTAGTTTCACGCTGATTATTTTTTGTATAATTTTTTTCCTTCTTCTTGCGACCGCCTTCCTTTTATTGGTCTCATGCAAATTAATCATGGAAAAAAGAAACTTTTTAGGGGCGTTAATTATGCCGAATTTTGTGTTAATGCGAAATTAATTTGCGGAGCATTTTCGGGTAATTTATGAACATCATTTTTTAGTTTTTGATTTTCTAGCACGATTTCTTTCACTTTTTTGATGTTATCGTCAGTGGTAGCGTCGAAAGACGACCGGAACGAGGGATGTCTTCCTTTATACTAAACCTCTTAGACGGCGGGGTCACGCTAATTTTTTCAATCCACTGTGCTAAATTACAGTTTATATCTTTATTTAGTGCTTAATTATGTCACTTTATAGGTCCAT